TATTAACTATGACCAGGGTTGATTTGCCTAAAAATAAAAGCAAATTGTGTCAGACCCTTTCACTTTGTTTTTGATTCGGAACTACAAAATGGATTACTAAAGAAATCTTCAGAGTTCACACGGCTCGTATAGTACTGAATTTAAAATGAGAATTAAACAAGTCAAACAGGAGAGCCATGTCCACGGTCTACATTTTCCATCATGGGAGAAGGGCTGAATTGCCTATGTCTTTGTGTTCTTTGGCTTTAGAGAGACAATGAAGCCACAGGAGTTTTTCCAAGCTGTTCGAAACTCTGTCCCTTCCCTACCCTACCCTTCCCTCTCGCCTTTTCTTCTCCTCCTCTCTCCCAGCCCCATTCTAATCCCTCCCCTTAAAAAAAAAAAAAGAAGTGGGGGGAGCTCTTTCCCAAAAGACCTAATTCCTGACTAGCAGCTTCTAGTCTGCATATGTTAATGAAAATATTTTAAGCAGTTGAACACTCCCCATTTAAGGCTCTACTTTACTGCGCCAAGAGCAAGCTCCTAAGTAAATCTATGTAGATATATGAAAAGTGACCTGAAAAACAGGTTTTTATGGCAGCAGCCAGAGACTAGGCAGGCCCCCAGGACCGTTCCGACGATTATTTTCCTTAGAAGAGCCCTCCTTCTCATCTCATTTGCAGTGGGAGAGTTCAAGAATAAAGTTTTCATGGAATGCTCAAGAAATAGCCTGCTTGTTTTTTTTCTTTCTTTTCTGATGAGGGTCTCAGTCCGTATATCCTTGCCCCTGCCACTCCCATCCCTGTGACGCGTCACTGCAGTCACGCTGGGATCTCGAATCGTTTCCCATTAGGTGCTGGCGCTGGAAGACTTAGCCGGCTGGAGGGGGGGAGGTCACTCTCAGCCGCTCCCTTTACTACCTGAATTATTTCAGGGCGGGGCCAGGTAGCAAAGTCCCTCTGCAGGTAATCATGCTGACCCACCAACCAGAGGATTCCTCTTATTTCCAGATAAGAGGTTTTACGATAATGATTCTAAATATACCGCTGACTCTTCAGCTGACTCTGTATGGAGCAACCAAGCCCATCAGCAGTTCTCAGCTGGTCCGGGGCTTGATGGCTCATTTACCTGTCCCCCGGCTTCAGCCCGGCACATTTCGGGACGCGGGAGTCATTTGCATGCCTTTGCCTCCTAGGACAAGTGTCAAGAGCTACCCTTTGTGAAAGATTTTGAACCAAGTGCTTAAGGAATCATCTTAACCTCCAGCTCCCTTTCTGAAGCTTGAGGCTGTAATTGCTGAGGTTAAAAAGTGCAGTCCCTGGACACAGGATTCCCAAATCAATTCTCTCCTGGTCTGAAAAGAAGGCTCCCAAGCCTGCGGTGAGATCTCGAGGCCGCCCCGGCTTTGTGCTCGCCCTGGCTCGGTCGTCCTGTGCAACCGCGACAGTCCATTACCTACAGTTTATCATCCTGACAAAATGTGAGGGCTGTGGATGTGAAAGCACTAACAATTCCACCCCTGCTGCTTTGTGCTTTCCCCCCCCCATATTAAAACCGACAAGATTAACCCAAACGCAAACTGGGGAGCATAGTTCAAGGGGCTATTGAATCCTTGCTGAATGTGCATTTGTTTACCTACAAAAATAAGAATTTCAGACACAATGGAAGGCCGGCCGGCTTATATATGGTATTGAATGGACTGTTTAAACAGCACTATCCATTGTAGTTTATTTTATCAATCTCTGACAGGTCTGTATTTATTCAGAGCCTGACTGTGGCGGAGCCTAAGTATTATAGGTTATCTGGACATTATCCAGCCATTCTTTTGTATCAAGTCAATCAATATCAGGAATTCACCATTATGTAGGGAAAAAATGACCTGAGAAAAGCAAAACGCTTGGTTAACTAGTATATGGGGGATATACTAGGGAACAAATAGAAGAAATGAATGCTCCAAATTCAACAAAGCTAGTAATTCACTCCAGAATTCCATACCAATACGGACTTGCTCACTCTAAAGTGAAGTTAATAATAAATAAATATATATATATATTTTAAAGAGTAAACCTTTTTTTTTTTGGCAAAAACATCATGCTTGGAAAAAATTATTCTACTGAAACGTTAATTAGCAATGAAAGCCAGGCTCTGCTTTTCTCTCCAGAGTTAAAAAAAAAAAAAAAGCTACACAACGAAATGGCCACAGTTGACATAATTCTTCCTTGAACCTGTGGATGCAGTGGCTAACTTTTCAGTCAGTAAAACTTCTTCAAAACTCTCCAGGGGTGGGAGAAGCAGACAGTGTGATTGAAGTAGTTATGGAGACGGTGAATTTACAAAGGATTTTCTGGACTATGTCTCCAAACAGCTGCTGTGTGCTCCCTCTGTCCACCACCTGCTAAAAAAGCTGACCTCCGAGTGAAACAAACCTAATTACTGATGGCCGCTTCATTACAAGTGAATTGTTCTACACTTGGACAAACTGATGGGCAACTTCAATGCAGTTGATTACTCTCTGCCACGTCACATTTACTGACCAAAAACTTTCCCCCTGGAAATAAATATGCAACTCCCCCCAACAAACAGAGCAACTCCTTGGCACCCATTAAAAAAAAAAATTCATTCTCAAACTTAGAAAAGGCTCTTTTATAGCATTCCTCCAGGAAGAAATCTTTCTGATCTCTCAAGCTAGCATTCAGCTGTATAACTCAGTTAAGTAGACTTTTGCCAGGGGACAAACGATCCCGTCCTCCAGGCCAGCCGTTATCGTGAGGATTGTCAAAGAAATTCTCTTGGGGGCCGGAGCCATCACACCAACAGCAACAGGGTCAGTGCAGGGAGGCAGGCTTCTCCACAACCAGGCCTCCGGGAGGGCTCTAAACCCAAGCCCAGCTCAGAAGAGCAGCCTGATCCTCCTATCAGGCCAGTGAGTATCAGTCACCCCTTCCCCCAGCATCCTGGAGGAAGTAGATATTCACAAGGAAACCGTAGGCTGTAATAATTACTGCGCTACCTTTATTGTTTCCAAGTAGCTATTTGCAAAGCCTACAAACCAGTAGTTACTAATGCAAAAAGGTGACTTTTACTGAGCTGAAACCTGAAGGGGTTAATGGGAATTTCTTTAAAGACAGGAATGTAAAAATTAAATCTTACTGGGAGGAGGAGGGGAGTGGAAACTCAAATCCCAAAACCAGCCCCCCAAAGCCAGTCGGTGAGTGAAAGTGCAAGGCAGCCCCGGGGAGGAGGCGAGGGCCAGCTCGGCGACAGCGCAGGGAAGAGTGACCCCTGTAGGCAGGAAGCGAGCGCCGGCCGCCCTGGGCCGGCTCCACGGGGCCCGCCGCCCTGGCCCGGCTCCCGGCTCCCCGGTCCCCGGTGCCCGGGCCGAGTCTCCCAGCCCCGCGTTCTCCCGCACCGCCCGGCGCCTCACGCTGCCGGAGCGGAGACCAGCTCTCACTGCCAGCATTTTCTCAGCAAATCCATTATCTTACGCCGAGGCGGGGAAAGGGAAACAGAAGTCCATAAAGATCAGGCTACAGGGAAAGGGAGTGCACGGAGTAACTTTTATTATACACGGGAGCAGTGTTGGGAAAAAGCCATCCAGCCTCCTGCAAGAATTTCGGTTTCATCCGCTTTATAGCCGTGACGTTTTTCGCTCTTTACCAGGGAATTCTTGGTTAGCATGTCGGTGAATCTGAAATTCACCACTTTTAAAAGCGTGGATTGATAACTCTCTGATTGAGATGTGATCTTCAAATCAACCCCACCCCCACCCCCATCCCTTTATATTCCTAAATCCACGGCCGACTCAGCTCAACTTCGTATTAGGTCATTGATTTTGCTTCTTATGTCAAATGCTGACTCCGGGAACAACCAATGTCTTCAGACTTACCCCCCAAGTTTCCCAAGGTTAAAAAATCCCATGGTTCTGTAAAATAATTCTGGCTAGGATTCGAAACGTCTCCCGAGAGTGAAGTTATAATGCAATACTGAGTGCACAGCTGACTAATTACCAGTCACAGCCATATATGTGTGTGTGTGTATATATATATTATATATATATAATATATATATATATATATTTCGAGATGGATAGCCTTTTCTAAATGCTAAACGTACTCGGGCTGCTCACAGTGAAACTTAATCTCTGCCAGGCCTGGCTTCTCCCGGCTGCACCTTTCGATAAAGCAAATCGGACCCAAGGCTCCCATTCCCGCCCAGGCTCCCCAAGCGCGAAGGCTTCAGGAGCTGTGTGGCTACTGGGCAGGGCCTTAATGAAGCTTTTGCGCAAAGCATCTTTAAAATCAAGTTAGCATTCGGGACCACAGAGTCTGGGCCATCGGTTTAGAAACGAAGGGAGAGGCCGATCTGCAGACGGTTCCCCGGGAGCAGCCGAAGGCCAGTCTCCCGGGCGGGGAGGGAAGGGCTCGCCGCCCGACTTCTCCCAGGCGGGCGAGCTCCCCGCGCACGCTTGGGCAGGCGGCGCGGCGCCCAGGCGCGTGAGCTCCAGGAGGCCCAGGGACCCCAGACTCCCTTCTCCGGGGAGCGCTCCGTTGCCCCCCGGCCTGCCTGCCCCGCCCGCCCAGCCGGCCCGGCCCGCGCCCGGCCGCTCCTCGGGAGCGCGGCATCCTCGCGTCTCCGGAGCCCGCCAGCCTCAGCGCGCCAGCCGGCCCTGTTTTTAGCCCCGTTCTCCGCCCTGGAGAAGAAGTCAGGGTCAGGGATCGCCATGGGACACCTCTCCGGACGTGACACCCAAGTCAACAGGGGCTTTTTTTAAGCGCCCGGGGGCCTGTTCACAGGGCGAAGAGGACGAGGAGGGCGCCCCTCGGGGCCGGCACTCCGGCTGCAAGGCCGAGCGGAGTCACCACAAAGCGAAAGGCGGCGGGGGTGGGGGACGAGGGGGCTCGAGATATGGAGTATCCAGAAACAGGTCCGAGGCTCGGCGGCCCGACCTATCCTCCCTTCGGGGCTGCGCGGAGCAGCGGATCCCGGGGCGGCGAAAGAGGGGCATCGTGGACGCTACTTACTTGGAGTTCGAGGAATTCCAATAGATGGGTTCTAAAACTATCGATCTGGAAATCGCAGTTCTGCATAAAACCATCAAAACTCCCCAGCAGTACTTCCACAAGGAGTCCCTCCTCGCGGCCATGGCCAAGCCGCTCCCAGCTCCGCGCGCTCCTGGCGCCAGAGGAACGAAGTGCGGGCCGGGAACCCCAATCCTCCGGGCAGACACAGGGGAGACCGCAGGCAGCTCCGGGGCGCGCCGATCAGCAGCTCCAGCGGTCGCCGAGGCCCGGGGGCGCTCTTCGCGGGGGCCCTTCAGAGCGCGGGGCGGGAGCGCACGCGCGGAGCGCGGCGGCGCGGCGGGCTCGGGGCTCCGGGGCGCCGCGCCGGACGCAGCTCGGACAGCCGGCTCCCGTGCGGCTCCAGGGTGCCGGACGCCGAGAACCGGGGAGGGCGCGCGGCCGGGACACAAAGGCGGAGAGACGACGCAGTGGCGGGCGCGGCGCCCGGAGAGGGGCCGCCTCGCACTATAGATCCAGGGGGCCCGGCAGCGGCCCGAGCGCGCGGGCGCCGCTTCGGCGCCGTTCCATGTCCCGGAGCGCGCGCGGGGCGCGAGCGGCTAGGGGCGCCTCCGGGCGCACGGGGAGCCTCCACAGTCCTCGCGGATCCCAGCCCGCGGGGCAGGCAGGAGCGGGTGGCTCGGTCCTCGCCGCGGGCGCCAAAACGCGCGCGCGGGGCTGGGGGCTGAGGGGGGCCCTTTGTGCGCGGGGAGGGCGCCGGGAGCAGCTCCGCGCGCGGCTCCTCGCTCCGGCCGGCGCCGCCGTCCCCGCCGAGCAGAGTCCGCTCGGCCGGCGCGCTGTCACAGCGCTATAAACGCGGAGCCCCGCCCCGCGCCGGGCCGCCCATTGGCCCGCCGCGGGGCCCTCGCCACTCGGTTGGGCGGCCGGCCTATCCGTCAGCCGCCGTCCCGCCGCCACCCGACAGTAGGCGGTGCCAGCTGACAGGTGAGCCCCGCCCCCAGCCCCGGGCGGGCGGCGCGAGCACAGCAGCGCTGAGGAGCCGGGGCCAAGGGGGACCCGCCCGCGCGCGAGCCCCCTGCGCCCCCCGAGCGGCGGCCTGGAGACGCTCGGCCCGGCGGGCGAGCGGGAGCGGGGACAGCGCGGGCCACCTGTCCCCGTGCCCAGCAGCGCCCGACAGCGCCCGGCAGCGCCCAGCAGCCGCGATCTCAGGGCCCCGCTAGCGCCCTGAAGTTCGGCAGAGGCATCACGGCGAGGGCGCCCCTTTTCCCTGCGGAGAGGAAGGCGGTGGGTTTCCCGAGGGTCTTCCTCCTTAAGAGGCGGGGACACCCCCACCCCTCAAACTGCGTAGACGGGCTCGAGGCCCCTCGCGCAGCCCCTAGCCACCCCCTCTCCAGGGCCTGTCTGTGACACTTCGCACACCTGATTTCTGCGCCAAACGCTGGCCGGGGCGCCCGATCCCAGTGCGCGGGGACCGGGAGAGGCAGAGCGCGTCTGCCGGGGACCCGGCGGGGCGGCCGAGCCCCGGGGCGCTGGCCCCGCGAAGGCAGCGCCTCTCCCCGCTCGCGCCGCCGAACCGTCTCCTTGATTGGGACACGCTCACACCTCCCCAAGGTGATCGCGAATTTCGGGGGTGACCGGGACAGACAGCGCCGAAGCGGAGGGGCGGCGGGAATCCTTCGTTCCGAGTCCCGGCGGAGCGCGGGCCCCCGGAGCGGCCGGGACGCGCCGCACCGCGGCTTCCGCGGACCCACAGCGCCCACTAGCGGCCGGTCTGCGCGCTCCGCGGCAGGAGCGGGACCCTCGGGCGGCCCGTACTCCGCGCGCGCGCCCCGCCGCGCAGAGGGGCCGCGGGCGAGATCACCCGAGTGAGGAACCGCCTCGGGAGCGCGGCGGGGACGGGGCGCTGTACTGATTCCAACGATTCAGTTTGAAAAATGTGTGTTGTAGACCTACCTACAGCATGCTTTAAAAAATTCCTTTCCACACCAGGGTGCCCTTAATGTTTTAAATGCAAAGAACTAATACAACATTGTGAATCAACTATACTCCAAAAAAATTTTTTAAATAAATGCAAAGAACCAGTCACTACTATTGCTACGAATTCTAAATTTTTAAGACGGATTATCCACTAAATTTAAAACATAACTACTTAAATGGTTTTTAAAAATCTCGTTTAGATAGTTATGAGTTTCCCTTTCCCTCTTCTTTGTAATAACTTTGGAAGAGTTTTATGGTGCATTCGTATTCGGTTTTTTGGACATTACGAACGTACATTTCAACTGGGAATGTTAAAACTTTTGTGAAGGCTACTTTGTTAAGGCTGAAAACACCAAGGCAGGCGAGGTACCCAATACATTCATATTCCAAACAAGTCTTTACAAGAAGAAAACAACTGTATTCTCTGCAATTGCTAGTTTTCAATGAAAGACTCCAACTTGAGAAAATATTTTAGTCTTGAAGACAGCACACCTATTGGAAGTCATCCTGACTCCCAGAGGACTGAAAAACCCGGAGTGAACAGGCAATATATTTCACAAAAGCAAGAGTTTTGTTTTTTTTTTAATAAGCTCACAAACATTTAAGGTAGTCATTTGAAATTTAATATAAAGCTAGCTTATAACCCTTAAAAAGTACTAAAACCGAGTGTCTCGATAGCTGTTTCACCTTTAGCAAACTTATGAAATTGTGAAATTTAAGTTGTGACCTCTTAGAGCCTACATCCTCTCTCCAAGCAAACCAGAGGAAATAAAGGAAATTTGCCTTTTCTGAAAATAACCCTGGCTTCCATTTTTAGTCAATCAAATATTCTCACATCCAGAGAATTTTACCTTGGGGGAAATGTAAATGCACGTTTAAATGGCTTCCTTTTTAAAAAATAAAGTTACACAAAAAGATTCCTATTACATAACTTTAGTGTGACTATGCATTAACTTACTTTCAGTAAACATAAAATAACTGTAGAAACTATGTTTAAAGTACCAGCAGTAGCAACACCACTGCTCTTTAATTTTAATAATTAAAAGCATTACCCCAAGTCACTTGTCTCTCTCGTACACCTATCATACAAGGGAAAAAAAACAGTCCCATCTGGCTGGACTGGTCAGTTTAATAGCTCTTTGTATTTGGACTTCTTTACAATTTTAAGAGAAACATGGTTTTTGAAAACCTGTAATTCTACCAGCATATATTTAACCCTACATCTAAAAATGACATTTTATTTCAGCAAAAAACATTACTTCAACTACTTCCAGTGTTAAGGAAGAAATTTTTAAAAGTCTAATCAAACTTTGGGGGATTTCAGAGACAACCAAAATATAAAAGTTGGATGTAAATTTGAATAAACATAGAACAAAGTGGTCAATAAAAAAAGTTTGATAGTTGTAGTTTTAAAAATAAGAGGGCAATGAATTTTGCTCCAGTAAATGTACCTTACTAGTCATGTTCCTATCCCTTTGGGGTTCATACTTAAGCTTTGGTCTTTAGAACTTGTTTTCTTACATATTCCTTGTATAGTATTCTAAGACTTTGAAAGACATCTTTAACTTTCAAAAAACTATAAAGAAATGTTGTATCTAAGTTTAACATTACAGAAAAATTGCTGACGTTTGATTCTTGATTAAATGTTGTCAAAGCCATGAATTTTCCAACACAGCTGGAAGTCTGCAGCACTACATGCAGTTCACCCCATACAAGTTACTGAAGTTGTGGGAGCTCTTCCCCAGAGTGACACTTTGCCTGGTCTATTCCCTGGCAAGACCTTTCAAAACAGAACTCTTAGATCAACTTTGCCACACATTCCTGCCTTATCAGCTTGTAAAATTCTCATTATTACACATTGCAGCATGCTGTTAGTGTCTACTTACTAGTTTGGTAGGAAAAAGTTATTAGTCATTACATAGGATTCTTGGTCAAAAGAGTTATTTTTCCCTTTGGGAAGTTTCATGACAACTCATACCTTATAGACCCTAACATATTCTTTCAAGAACCAAAATACCATTCCTTTCTACTACAGAAGGCTTCCAAGGTGACCTTCCAGTGGTAAAGAATCCACCTGCCAAAGCAGGATATGCAAGAGAAGGGAGTTTGCTCTCTGGGTCAGGAAGATCCCGGGGAGAAGGAAATGGCAGCCCACTCCAGTATTCTTGCCTGGGAAATTCCATGGAGGGGCCTTGGCAGGCTACAGTCCATGAGGTCACCAAGAGTTGGACACGACTGGGCAAACATATAGTAATCTAATAAATCTCTAGCTCAAATGATCACTGCTTTTATATTATTAATGCAAAAGGACTGTATGTGGAAAGAAAGGTATGGCTCCAACTACCTGCGGAACCTGGCACAAGACTTCACTTTAGATCAAACCAGTCAACCCTAAAGGAAATCAATCCTGAATACTCATTGGAAGGACTGATGCTGAAGCTCCAGTATTTTGGCCACCTGATCCGAAGAGCTGACTCACTGGTAGACTCTGATGCTGAGACTCAAGGCAAAACAAGCGGGCAGTAGAGAATGAGATGGTTAGATAGTATCACTGACTCAACGGACATGAACTTAAGCAAATTTCGGGAGAGAGTGGAGGGCCTAAGTGCCTGGTAGGTTATGGTTCCTGAGGTTGGGAAGAGTTGGACACGACTTAGTGACTGAACGTGCTGAGATTCCCACTTTGTGCACCAGTAAGATACAGACATACTGTGTATTATAATAAATTCTGCTCTCAACATGTAAGGGGTATTGCTGACCAGCAGTCTCCATCAAACCATTTTTGCTCCTTTATCCCACTTAGCAGTTAAGAGATTTCATAGTACCTAGAGCCAATTGGAATTATATATTCCTTTAATTCATGTTGTCATTAATTTAAATCATCCTGAAAGCCTGGAAAATGAGGAAGGCAACAATCATTACCAAATGTATACAAAGAATCCATTTAGTTCTAACCCTAATAAACCAGGTTTAGTGATCAGCAGTTACAGCAATCTTACAAGGTTATTGATGCTACTGCACACAGACACAGACACACACACACAGACACGCAACCTTTGCTTAAGTGGCAGTGAAAACTACCTGAACATTGATTTTACTTTTACTCTGAAACTTACTGGCTTCAGACGTGGAAGGATAAATAGTGAAACTGTTCCAGCATCCCTTGGTCAACCACCAGGGGCTCAGGAAAGGAACAATCTTGTAAAACAACTTCCCAATAAGTTCAATTACACACACACACCAACTTTTAAATCCTATTGGCTTGTCTGTATCCCCCTTTCCATTGCTTCCTAGCTGCAAATTACTCATTCTAGTCATTATAGATACACAGTAAATGGATCAGGCAATGTGATTTAACCATCTGAAAACCAATTATGGCTATCTGCTACACAACATACAATGCGAAACACAGAGTATAAAACAAACTACAGCTCCACTGGCAACTCTGACACTGGGCCACAGACTGTTTAAAAAAAATAGTAACACTCAAAAGACAAGGGTAAACAAAAACATTTATGAACAACACAGGTGACGGTGAAGAATCAACACCTCCACAAGTGGCAATTCAACCAATGAGAGTGGGCCTTCTGCTTGGCCTTCACACTCCTCCCAGAGCTTGTATCTTCACTGGTTCTGGTCCTTCCGCTAATCAGTCGTACTTTGGTACCTGAGCATTCACAAGCCTCCTGGATGGAGTCTCAAAAATTGATACCGTCTTAGAATTCCTCATGGCCAACAGACAGAACAGATGGATGGCTCTGGGTGTAAGCGAGCAGAAAATTGAGACAACCGATGGCAGACACTCTGGTTTTATTAACATATTTGGAGAAATTTTAGTTGAGAACTCTCATATAAAACAAAGCCTTGGAAACAATATATACACCTCAACTGAACAGGATTCCATGCTTATTTTACCTCAGAAAATTTAAAAAGTAGTACAAATTTTCTTTTGCAAAAAAAATTTTATTTTTTGTGAACGAAATTATTTGCAAATTCTTCAAAGTACTGGTGGCTACACAGAGAAGCTACGGACAGTGCCAGTGTAACTCAGAAATTAACTGAGGACAGGGAGAGCCTAATTTGCCGTCTTCACAAGAGAAACTGGAGCAGTGTAGCTTTAACTACAAGCCCCTCCCCCTCTCTGCAAGCACTGGAGAGTCCTCACACACAGCTAAGTTCAAGGCTTAGTTTATACAACTGACTTCACTCTGCAAACTCCACAATATCAATGGCAATAACTACATACTTTAAATACTGTAATAAAAATAAACAAAGTCATTAGTTAATTCTGTAATGCAGTAAGAATTTATAACTTTAAAAAACAAATTATGAAGAAAAGCATACTTAATAAATTAAGGAACATCTGAACTGCTAATAGTTTGGGAAAGAATCTGAACTTTTATAATATGTATACAAAAGCAGTGGAAATGAAGAAAACAAATCTACACATTGCTGTCGCACAGAGAAGATTGGGTGTACTTTATTAACAATTCCATCCTCTTTCCTGCAGCCTGGAGCAGGAACAATTTCATTATTGGACGGGAGTCTCCAACAGCAAAGGGATACTGCAATACGTTACTAAGCAACTCACTGTGATTTCACACCATATGAGGCAGGAAGAAATTTTTTAAAAATTAAAAAAGGCACGCATAAGCTGATTTCATATATTCTAAAGTCCAGGCTACTCTCTTAGATACAATGTTTAGAACACTTGTATAGCAAAACAATTTTTAAATAAACATTTCCAAAAACTTGAATACACAACTTAAGAACAATGGATCTGCACCCCCCCAAAAAAAGTTACATTAAAAAAAGTGTTAAGAATCATAAAATAATTAGAGCTAACCTAATTTAGAGATTAAAAAAAGGATTCATATGCAACCTAAATTCTTTAGGTAGATAAAGTGAATGCTTTATTAAGAGTAGAAGGTACCATGTTTACTAAAAGTCAGTTCTCACTACAGTTCATGCCTATTTAAAATTCTATCTTTAAAGATATTTAAACCTAGTTTATTGTTCCTTAGCACAATTAAGACTCATGAAGAGCTCAAACTATAAAGCATGCACACACAAAATAATCTAGCATTTAGTCATATCATTAACTTATGTTTTCACTTTTAAAAGACTGGTCAAACTGTCTCAAAAATACTGGAAGGTTTCTCTACTTTGATGACATATCTATGCATCTCAGGCAGCTTTTTTATATCCATCTCCTTTTCTTGAATAAATGTTGTAATGCCAGTTGACTTAAACATATGTAAAGATAACTGAGGCAGATTCTAGTGTATAAGAGTCATTTATAAGATACCACATGCAAAAACAAAAAAACTTTTAAGTTGAAATGTGTTTTCCCAAAAATAAATGTGCAGGTACCCTCCACTGAGGGTGATCTGACCACCTTAGCCTTTCGTAAAAGAACAGAGCTAAGTTCTTTCTGATGGCCCACTGTGAAAATAATTTAAGATACTGTAAATTTTAGAAGCATTTTTCTAGTCTTTATTAAGTATAATTTGTGGTGATAATACTTATTCTAAAATAGAGGTGCAGGATTGAGAATTTGAATCTTTTTCTGGGTGCTTAATCTTTCTTAAAGGTAATACTGCTGCCATAATTTCTTGTGTCAGCATAAATTAGGTATCTGTAAAAATAGCCATTAAATACTAATTCTCAAGTATATTTAAAGTACATATAAATCCTATGTTAAAAGTATAAGCTAGAAGAAATATATAGCATAGTCCTAGGATTTCTAGATTGTTAACATCAAAAAGTAAACCACCCTCTTTAAGACTTAACAGAACTTTAAAAAAAATTGCTTCAACATATGAATTTAAGACTTTACTTTATTCAGCAAAATCATTTATTTACACAGTGGGGAATGCTGGTTTGATTCTGTCAATGAAATAAAAACAAGGTGAACAGAGACAATACTGAATTGTATATGTATTTTGTACCAGAGCTGACCAACTGTTTCCTTACCTGTGTCAGGAACACCAAGAGCAACGGTATCATGAGACACTGGTTAACAATACACCACAAAGGTCCAGTGACACCCTGGGGCTTCCAATGCAATCACCAACTTTTTCTTTTTTTATAAATATATAAAAAAACAAAAAGTCAGCAAAACCAGCATTATGACATAGTAAACAGAGTATAACTCTAAAGTCAGTGGGTCAGTAAAAACCTTATCAGACCATCCAGTTTCCCAGTGATCTGTTCTTCCTCAGACCACTAACACAACAGTCCAACAGGTGAAAAATAGATCGCTTTTTAGAAGGTACCAATGATCTGATAAGGATCTGACTTAAGGGACATTAAGAGGGGGTTGGGGGGGTGGGCGGGGAAAAAAGGAACTGTAGAGCATAGCCCCTATTAAAACAAGCTAACTTTCCAGATTTTCCAAATTAAAAAAAACAAAACAAAACAAAAAAAAACCACTTCAACATGAAGCTACCATACAAAGTTTTTCCATATTTCTTTGTAAAAAGTTCAGAGTTTGCAGTCTAATCCTGGGTTTTTAACGAGAAGGACAGTTTCGGCCTGGACTTCCCCTTGCCCAGGATAATTTTTTGTTCTTCTTTTTGTTGACGCTGTCGCTCTTGTTCTAGTTTCATCCTTTCCTCATGAATCTTTCTTTGTTCTTCAACAATTCTCAACTGTTCTTCAGCCTTTAAGTTAAAAGTAAAAAATTAGAATCTTATATTTGTAATATTTCTGAAAATTAATCAAAAGGGGTGTACAAAAGTATATGTTTAAAAAAATCTTGCCTAAGATGATATAGAAGGTATCAGGGAAAAATATTGACAAAGTAGAAAAGAACTCCTTATAAATTATTCCCACATTTTCCGATAATTGTTTTTTATGCAAAGTACATGAACAAATTGTTAGGAAAGCACGTGAACATTTTGAAGATGAAAAGAAGTTTCTATAATCATGCCTTGAGCTCAGTATACATTTTGTCCTATTACCTATTTTTATTTACCATTTTAGTAACCGGACTAACAAACTGTCAATTACAAATCGAGGCATGAATTCTAAAGAGTATGCTATCTACCAATTTGTTTTAATTAAATTTGTAATTAGAAAGGCATAAAAAAATCCTCAATGGTGCTACATTATACTGTCAAATTGACAACCAAAAAATAATCAATTTTCTGGAGAGAAAAATAACAAAACCTTTCTGACTTGACTGACTATAAAATGTGAATTTCAATCAGTTCAGTTCAGTCACTCAGCTGTGTCTGACTTTGCGACTCCATGGACTGCAGCATGCAAGGCTTCCCTGTCCTTCACCAACTCCTGGAGCTTGCTCAAACTCATGTCCATCGAGTCAGTGATGCCATTCAACCATCTCATCCTCTGTTGTCCCCTTCTCCTGCCTTCAATCTTTACTAGCTTCAGGGTCTTTTCCAATGAGTCAGTTCTTTGAATCAGGTGGCCCAAGTATCGGGAGTTTCAGCTTCAGCATCAGTCCTTCCAATGAATATTCAGGACTGATTTCCTTTAGGAAGGACTGGTTTGACCTCCTTGCCATCCAATTTCAAGAAAATTAACCAGAAGGTTTATCTTTAACCTGAAGGTATATCTCCTGGGTCAGGATGATCCCCTAGAGAAGGGATAGGCTACCCACGCCAGTATTCTTGGGCTTCCTTGGCTATTTTCAATAGACACCAATAAAATTAATTCCTGCAATGCCTTCAACTCCTTCAGTCTCTCAAGCAACCAACTTCCTGTGTTCTCTACAGAAGATTTCCTCTCTGCATCAGGAAAATTCAGGCCATTCTCACCAGCTCCTTCCTCCTCAAGCTGCTCTTCTCTCCAGAGATACCATATCCACTTCCTTAAACTCTCAACTAGGTGCAATTCCACTCCACTCTCCCCCAGGGGACATCAGGTAGTGTATGGTGCTGACTTGAGTCATCACGACTGGGAGATCGCTGCTGGCATCTCGTGGGTAGGAAACAGACTGCCAAACACCCTACAAGGCACAGGACAGCCCTCACAACAAACAACTGTCTAACTCCAAAGTTTAAGAGTGCCAAGGTTTAGAAAACCTGCTCTAACCCTTGACTTCTGAATCTCAGTTATCACTGAGTTGTCCTTTTTTCCCTATTTGACCTTGATCGCAAAATACTCACTGCGTCATCTGAATGCCTTTATATTTCCAAAGTCAAAAATTCATTGCCTTCATCTCCATTATTCTCCTGAAATTGCTTTCTAGATGGCCAGGGCATGGCACATGCAGCTGAATCAAGGTGCAGTAAAGACTCTTAGGGTGCATGCCTGTGCTTCCGGAAACTTTCACCAATACAAACATCCCTAAGGTTCTAACTCAGCCTTGAGGAAAGCATATTACAAAGAACCCTGGGGATTGAAGGATTTTATATCACAACCTCAACCACCCACTTGAGAAATTTATGAAAAGCACTTTGACACTATCTACCCCAAACTACATTTTCATAGCACTTTTATATCCAGCAATTTCATTTTCTACTAGTTTTATTCTATAAATATACTTGCATACATGCAAAATTGAACAAATTTATTGCAACATGGTTTGTAAAAGACTGGAAAAACCCTATAAAAGAAAATACTGTGTAGCTGTTGAATCCAGAATCATGTGATATTACCTAACCAAAGAAATTAAACAAGATTTAAAAAGCAACTTCCTTCACAGACAGAAAAAAGTATTCCAACTGTACTGAAATTAATTTCGGATTTGAGTGAAGAAAAAGAAAAGGTTCATTTTCATTAAGTCTACAGATGCAGGCGAGGGCAGAGTCTACGCAGCGGGGAGCATGACTAAGCTGGGGCGGCGCTCAGCACCGAGGCACGGTGCCCAGGGCCAGGGAAGCACGGCGCCCTCACCAGCACCAGACAGGGCACGATTCTCACAGCCGTGAAGCACATCTTTCCTGTCCTCATGCACACACACTCCTAGTTTGTCATTACAGCTTTAAACCAAGCATATTTTTTGGCAAAAAAAGAAAAAAGAATTTTCAATAAACTTATCATGGTAATCATTTCATAAGCCATATGTTTAGGCTATACACTAACCTATACAGTGCTATATGTCAATTATATCGCAACAGAACTGCAAGAAGAATAAAGAGTAACAAAACAGACATTTTCAAATAAAATGGTGCAGAAATAAGTGTCTTTGTGTAAAGAACATGTATCCCAAAATGTGGCCTGAAATAAGGTTTTTAACGATTGTAATATATTAAGGAAGGCTCCCTACTTGTAAAGCACTCAAGGCTTTTGTAAAACACAGAAGAATTTGACATGCGTAAAAGCTGGTTTTTAAGATTCAGTACTTCAATAATCCTGGGGAAATCTTAATTTTTCTTGACCCTTATAATGACTCCAATAGCAATGACAGTAACAATGAAATGATCACAGAGTAATGATATCACAGGGTAATCACAAGATGAAACAAGATAATTATGAGAGCACACTGTAAATGCTAGAAATTATCCTTTAAGTCAAACAAAAAATATCTGAGGCCTAAGTACAGTGACCAAAGAAGAAAAACCATTATTTTAGCTCTAAAATAAGAAAACTATGTTGAACTGATAAAATTACAAAGTCCTTTTCAACTGCAAGTTAATGAGTATGTTGGTAAATTGATAAACCTTGACAATAAAGTACATTTCATATTAAAAAAGGCTAGTTGAGAAAAACCAGTGTTCGCTCATGTTAACGAAGTGGCGTCCAAGAGATGAAGCCTGCCTGTCCCCTGTGGGTGGCGCACTCCACGGCCGCCTGGCCAGGGCTTCCTCGGAGCCGTGCACCCCTCTCAGGTAACTGGCCTGTGGCTCTGTTTCTCACGACCCCGTCTACAGGCGCAGTGCACACGACTCCTCTCCCCTCTTCATTTCCATTGTGCACAGAAGAAACCACCATTCCCAAGGAGGGGGAGGGCACGCACGGGCGTGTTCACACCATGGGACAGCACCAAGCCCTCTCCCACCACGGCGCCCGGAGAGAAAGGCCCACCCGACGAAGCCAGTCGTCACAGCGGGCCAGCCTTCCCGGCCACTGCACCCAGGCCCCTCTTGGTCTCAGAAAGGTTTTCAACCCTCACCCCACTCAAAAGAACGGCTGCTGAGATGAAATACACAAAAGCAGAATATACTGCCATAATGGAAGGGTCTACCTAGCCCCTCTCCCAGGATCTTTTGTCTCCCTGTCCCTCTTTAACCAGAAGTTCTATTACCTTTTTAAAAATTAACTCCTTTCTAAGCATTCTCCTTACACTGTCTACAATTTTGGATCAAGGTTCTTAGCTACAATTTCTTTAGCAAACTGTGACACTGAAAACCATCACTCTCTACTTGGAATACATATGAATTTTTACAAAATATGTATCAGGAGTGATAACAGGAATAATAGGAGAAAATAAAAAAATATTACAATTAGGAATCATGCCCCTAACTTGGAAATGTGAATTTCTGAATTTTAACCTTCCAAAGCATATGTTTCACTTTGCCATTTTTCAATTTTAACACACCCTTCCCTCTATTAACAAGTATAACATAGGTTCCATTTTAGATTAAAAAATGAGTAAAAAAATATTAAAAAGAAAATCTGATGTAATTAGTTTTGACCTTCAGCAAACTATTTTATGTTATTCATGTACAAGCCCCCCCCCCAAAAAAAAGGTGGGGGGGCGGAGCTTGAAAAAAGTAATACCCTCTTTACCCCCAGGGGTCCATGTTAATTTAGTTATTCTGACAGACACCTTCTGAGGATATATACCATCACTGTATCATTAGCTACTCATCTAAAGAGGAACAATAACCACCCTCCCCCTCTAGTCCCCTTTCTGCTCAGTTTAACTCCCCTTTGCTACCTTTGTGACAAACATACTTTCCACACTTCAATGTTAGATAACATCTCCTCTCTCACTTTACCTAAAGCACAAACAATCGCTTCAAGTACTGCCTGGTAATTGAGCACGGTATGCAACCCTGGGTACAGAAATCACTGCCTTCCAGATCTTCAGAGGCTGCTCGTCGTTACTGCCAAAAGAGATAGCTGACACTTTCAGGATTCCACCATTCGTGTCTTAAAATTTCACAAAAAAGAAACTACTCTTCTAGATGCACTTCTTTTAATTTTGTGCCCTAAATTCTCTGCTCTTTTACTCAGTTCTTCTTGTCTTGTTCAATACTCATTCCTTTTGTGAAAGTTTTCCTTCAATGCCTGGTGACCCCTGGTTCTTAGCATGATCACACTCGGCCTTCCAGGTTCCTACAGCAGACTTCCTTCTCTTCCTTTTTCCTCTTCTTCCTCCCTCTGCACACCCTCATCACTCACTAAGTTCAGCTATTCTCTCTCTTTACTATTTCTATTTCCACCTTATCAAGTGCCCACCTTTTCACTGACCTCAGTGGCTTTCTTGTTTCTATAGCCTCTGTCCTTCACACCACAGTGCACAATGTCAATACATTTAATGTTCACAGTTTTTTAAAAAACTGTTGCCGAAAATACAACATAATTAAATCAGTTTTCTACCTTATCATCTGGGAACAAGCCTCTCAATGCCTGAAAACCCTAACTTGCCCACCATCCCACCTCAAATGAAGATATTTAAATTGACCTTTAAACTTGATGCCATACCGTGTTTTCCCATCTCTTAAAATGTATAAACATGTCGTTACTA